GCGAACTTCAGGAAAATAAAGAAAAAATTCTACGACTATCCAAAGAACAAATACACATTATGAAATCCGTAGTTCATCACACCTACAATTCCTCATNCCAAAGAACAAATACACATTATGAAATCCGTAGTTCATCACACATACAATTCCTCACTACATCTAGATCAAACACAACAAAATATGTCCCGAAATATACAGAAACTACTATCGCAAAGTCAAATGAATGCTGATAAAATCAATTTAGTAGAATTCATTTCTACTCTAGCTGAACATACAGCCACCATAACTCTACTACTTAGCCAATACAGTTGGGAAACTCAGAACCTCCTTGCTATAGTTAACTCAGCTCTAAGTGGTCGATTACATTCTAGTATCCTACCTCCTAATATCCTACTTAATGAATTGAAAGAAATCCGTCTTAGTTTACCATCAACCCTTGAACTCCCAGTTTCTATCTATTCTACAAGTCTAACTGATTTGTTCAAGATAACTACTATTGATGCATTATATATTAATTATACTTTGATTTTTAATTTAAAAATCCCTTTATTGTCTAATTTAGATTTTAATTTATTTCACCCCATATCCTTGCCTATACCACAAGGAAATCAAAATTTTATTTTTATTGTAACCGAATCTAAGTATTTAGCTTTAAGTAGAAATAATGATTATTATTTTTCTTTATCAGATCTTCAACTTTCAAATTGTTTTGATTTAAATAATTTTAAATTGTGTAAGTACCCTAAAGCACTATATCGTCATTCCAAAACTAAAAATTGTGACGTAAATCTATATTTTAAACCTAATTATCCAATTGTCAATTGTAATCTTAAGTATCGTAAATTGTTCATTCCCATATATCATAAATTAGAAACTCAAAACTCTTGGTTATATGTGACTCCTACAGAAACTCATATGACACTCAAATGTAATAATGTACAGAACCTCTTTTCTATTAATACCATTGGTAAAATAACAGTGGATAAGTCTTGTACTGTGAGTACCGAAACTTCAGTATTATTACCATCTCAAAACATTATTTCTGTGTTCTCCCAAAGAATANCCATCTCAAAACATTATTTCTGTTTTCTCCCAAGACTTTGTTCCCGAGAATCCTTTAGTTTACATGAATTCTAATATAACTAATAAAATTTCTAAATATCAGCCTGAACCGTTAACAGAAAATAATTTCATTCAAGATTTGAATCAATTAGCAGATGACAGATCTCAATAATCTTGAATCCACAATAGCAGAGTCTTCCGATCATTTCATCTTAAATACTCATATCCCATTTCTTTACTGTCTCTTTCTAATAATAATAATTCTAACTTCATATGCATTGTGTAAATATAAAAATACCACCCGACAATATAAACCAGATATCGCACATTGTACAAATTGCAATGAAAGTATGGTCTGAAGTCTTGTTAATTTAATTATTATATTGTAATTTAAGAGTATTATATGTAAGTAGTATTTCAAACACTACTTCCATTTAAGGGAGGGAGTGTTATGAATACTTAACTTAGTTTTATTATTGTCCCACAATTGTAATAACAGATAATCATAAATTGAATTGTAATTGAGGTCGGCCTAAAAGAATGTGTTTATAAAGTATTTTTCGGTGTTGCAAAACCGGGAAGTGAGCCGACTGCGACTGTTGTAATTCAGAGCATCGTCAGTCATTTGACAACTATTGTGCGATTACTAATTATTTATTCGGCAATACTATTTTATTTTATTCTATTTGTTACTCTCGTAACATTTGTCTTCACGGTGAAAATGGCTACCAAATGCTATTAATGTGTGAAAATTCTCGATTTTATTTTTTACATTTTTAATTTTATAATACTAAAACTTATTGAAAAGTATATNGATAATGAACTGTGAGATTTCGAATTGCATATAGCCAATAGTAGAAAGAGTCGAATGAAAAATATTGAACTCGTCAATTGTAACGTAATAGAGTATAAAATCGTCATTAACAGGTTAATAAGACGCTCTTTATTATTTATTGTTAAAATATCATATTTACGTACCATTCGATAATCTTTCATAGACTTTTTTTCTCCTGGCGTTTTCAACACAAATTTTGAATGTTTTAATTGTACAATACGAATATTGTACTCATCAATGGTTAGATATGAGTTATTATTACTACGTTTTTTTTAACTATATCAGATAAAATTTTGTTTAATTTGTTTTCCATTTCGAGTTCATCCATATTGAATTTTAATACAGCTCAAAGAAAATTAACACTATGATTTAACATACAAAAATAATATGACGATATTATGGCGATGTCGATCCGATGTGTACCGTGAGAGACTGACAAAATATTATCTATAATAGTTATTATATTTAAAATAAAGCCCTACACTAAGCTTGTACTATCTAGTATTTAATACCATTAAGATAACATTATATAACAACATTTTCCATTGTGTGTAGAAATTATCTNTACCATTAAGATAACATTATATAACAACATTTTCCATCGTGTGTAGAAATTATCGATAATCAAACCAAAAAATTAATAAACCACGATAATCACTAGTTTGTTTGGTAATTATTGTTATTTACTAGTTAATAACGTCAATATAAATTTAACATCTTTTACTGTAACATATATATATATATATAACCCGACACAACAGGGAAAGCAATAAATATGTGTATATTTATGTACGCACGTTACACTGTTCGAATAAGTATAAATATATATATATATATATATATAAGCTAGTTTCAGAACTAGAAAGATCTCGGGTCATCTGGTATTCCATCTAAACTTATAAAATATGGTAGAATAAAACTGCACAGAATAAATTACAGGGTTCATCCCAAATGTAATGACATTTGGGATGAGCCTTTGTTCAGAATTACACTTTTATTGGTTATAACGCTTCAAGTCATCAAAATTCTTCGAAATACCCTCTTCCCGCGACAATACAACGCTGGAGGCGGTTTTTCCATGTATCGAACGCTTCCCGGTAGGCATCTTCCGTAACTTCTGTCACGGCTGCTTGGATATCTTCGATAGACTGCCAGTGATATTCTTTCAGGGCTATTTTCATTTTTGGAAATAAAAAGAAGTCCGGGGAAACAGATCGGGACTGTAGGGAGGCTGAGGAACACAATTATGTGCTTTTTGGCCAGGAATTTGTTCACGATTAACACGGTGTGAGAGGGCGCATTGTCGTGATAGAGCCTCCAGTCTTTCCGAATCGGCCACTTCCTCTCCCTCTGCAGGCGATGGATCCTAAGCCTCAGTCTCTCCAACACAGCCTTGTATAACACTGCATTCACAGTCTGTCCTGGTGGGACAAACTCGTGGTGCACGATGCCCTGCACACCAAAGAAGACATGAGCGTGGTCTTTGTTTTCGACTTGATCATGCACGCCTTTTTGGGGCGTGATCACGAGGACGTGTACAACTCAGAAATTTGTCGCTTCGATGACCCTGCATACTCAAAACACCACGTTTCGTCACCAGTCACGTGGTCCATGAAGTTCGGATTGTCTTCACACAAGTCAAGGAATTCTTGGGATCGGAGCACTCGAATTGCTTTTTGTTCGTCAATAAATTTTCGTGTCACAAGCTTGGCGTATAACTTGCGCATTGCCAATTCTTCAGTCACTATGCGATGTTCTGTTGATTTTGGCAAGTTTAAGGCCAGTATATACCAAGTGTCAGAACTTGGTATACTGAGCCGTCGGTCGGTGTTCAAGCAATAACGCACATGTTCCACATTGGTGTCTGTCAGCGAAGCTGACGGGTGCCCTGACCTTGGTTCGTCGGCAATGTCCTCCCAACCCTCCTTGAACGCCTTGTGCCACTTCTTAATTTGAGAACTGGACAGACAATTATCCGGAAAAGCCGTCTGAAGCATTGAGATTGTCTCAGTAGCGTTTTTCCCCAGCCGAAAACAAAACTTGATTACGTAACGTTGTTAAATCGTTTTTTCCATGACGACGCTTAGAAACTTCCTTTGGGGGAACTCACGTCTTGTCGCTTCCAGAGCTCAGAACAGCCGATCTGCAGTAGTTCGTTAGGGTTCTCTCCACTCTTCCTGACTGGTCGCAGCATGCTGGATTATTTAGTGACGTCAGAAAAAGATGAGGCTCAATTACTTTTGGTATGAACCCTGTACGAATTGTGCAAACATATATGAAACAAAAAAAGAGTACCTAATGAATGGAACAAAGCTATAGAAATATCAGTTTAAAAGAAAGGAGATAAGAAGAACTGTAATAATTATAGAGGAATATCATTACTAAATTCAGTGTATAAGGTATTCTTCAAAATAATGCTAGAAAGTGTCTGGAACCAGTAGCTAAAGTGTGTATAGGAATCTATCAACTATTGAAAAGCTTATGGAAAAGAAGTACGAGGACACACCAAACATATGGCAAGTGTTTGTGTATTTCAAGAATGCTTACGATAGCATCAGCCGCGATAGTTAATAAAATGTTCATGAACGGAAAAAGATATCCAATTAGAGTGGACTGTATAGTGTAGGAAAAATTTGAAGTAATCACAGGGCTCAAACAAGGTGATGCATTATTACCATTAGTGTTCAACATTGCATTAAACAAAGTGATACGCATAGTACAAAGTAATAAACTCGGAATCAATATTGGAAATACTACGCTAGATGTGCTAGGTTTGGAATATGGGTTTGGAACTTAGTGGGAGAAAAAAAATATAAGAATACAAAATACAAATACACTCATTCAGAAAGCAAAAAAGATTGGCCTAGAAATAAATTATGAGAAAACAAAACTAATGGAAACATGGAAAGGGCTTTTTTTTGCATTAATAAAATATTTCAATATAATAACAATATAAGTCAAAACTATTCTCTAGAATAACAATAGTACGCTTATACATGAGTATTGTAAGGTCGAAGTTTACACATGGATGTAAGTATGGCTCATTACAGTAAAAATTGAACAAAAACTCAGAACCTTTGAGAATAGAGTACCAAGAGCAATTTGTGAAACAGTGTTTGATACCACAACAAATAGATTGCGTAGACGAAATATGCGGAAATAAGGGAAATCACCAAAGTACCTCATATAACAAGCTATTTGAAGGGTCAGGGAATTCAGTGGTTTTAACACGCGATGAGAAAAAAGGAAATGAATGAAATAAGGGCGTCAATAAAATACAATTCAACAATTAGAATACCCAGAAGCAGACTATTAAAACGATGGATGGATGGAGTGCGCCAAAATCTAGAGAGACTGGAAGCAACAGATTGGAAGAAAGGGATCTAGGATCGGGATTATTGGAGGTTGGTGACAGTGGTAGCCAAAACTCTTGAAGAGTTGTGAAGGCACATAAGAAGAAGAAGAAGAATTTTTTTTTTAAACACCAAAAGTAACTTAGAAATGATCACTATGATTTCTGTTTAAGTGATTTATTACAATAAAGATACAAAAAAATCCAGCACGGTGGGAACGTAGCATAGTTGGGTCCAGTATATATTTAATCTGACAGTGATTAAAATAACTATCATAAGAAGCGCTTCGATGCAAATCTGTAGATAGTGTTTAATTCTAAGAAATTGGTGGATATATACAAAAGCAACAATAACTCTTATTCCCTTAATTTTATCCCGATTAGTAATTCTTAGATTCAAAAATATAATATAAAATTATACATCATATAATTGTGTATATTGAATTGTTTTCAAATTATTATTGATATTGATTTTAATATATTAAAAGTAATAATTTTTAACCTCCTTTATTTCATCTTTTAATGTGAAAGTTTATAATAAACAAAAAAAGGAATTTATTACCATAACTTTTAGCTAAACTTGCAAGTTTGAATTGATATCATTAAATAAAAAAATTTATGAGAATTAAAAAAATTGTATCGTTAAGATTAATATGCAGTTAGGAAGTTTTATAATTACTATTTTTAGTACATTTATCAGAGTAGATCAATATTTTATTGCATTTTTATCGTAATAGATAACTTAAATTGAAGTAATAGTAATAATTTCCTAGTAATTTTTGGTGTTAAAAAAAAGATTCTACACATACAAATATATGGATATATTCAGAACTTAATTAATTTTAATGATTTACTTTAACTAAAGGAACCAAAAAAAAAAGTTGTTAAAAAGATTTACTCAATTGAGCGTAAAATAATATTTGATTATAATTGTAAAAATCCATTGTTAATTCAGAAGAAACTAACAATAATTTTTTTTAGAAAT